CTCCGCGTGGGATGGGGGGCCGGGAGATGGGGCCTTCCGCCGCGCGGAGGCGCAGCAGCGTGGCGGCCGCCACGGGGGCGCCGAGCGAGGCGCAACGCAGCCGCCGGCGGGGCGGCGCGCGCCCGCGGGCCCGGCAGCAGTCGTGCCGCGCCGTTGGCAGCAATGACAGGCCAACGGGCGCGGCGCCAATACTTGCCCAGCGCTCTGTAAGCAGGGCGCCCGCAGCAGGCGGCCGGGCGCGCGCGCGGGCGGCGCGCCGGCCGCGCCGTGGTCGCACGGGCGCCAGGCGCGAGGGCGCCTGTGCCAGCCGGCGACAAGGTCACCCGCCCGGCACGCGCGTCGCGCGCCGGCGGAGAAAGTAAAAGAGGGGGGCGGCGAGAGCCTCTGCGGGTGGCGGAAGGCGCGGAGGACAGGCCGCGCAGCCGGCAAGCCTGCGGCAACACGGGGGCCAGGGTCATCGTCATCTGACCACCGATTGCCGCCGCCTCTCCTGTCCTCCTCCTAGAGCCCCGGGTCGTGGGCTCTTTTTTATCTACGTTGACCTGCTGGCGCGGTTAGCTAGGATGTTTGATTGAACGTGTGGCTCACACCGCGCCCCCAGATCGGCTGGGCTTCCATCCCCTTGCTTTCCCCGGCAGGCGCTTGCCCGTCTTTCCCCCCTTCTCCTCTCCACTTTCGGGGGCTCAAGCCATTCTGGGCCAAGCTGGCCTTCCCGCGGGGCCCCGGAGCGGCCGCTCCACGCCCCTTTTTAGCACAGGCTTCGCCGCGGCGGCGAGAGCCTCTGCGCGCGGCAGAAGACGCGGAGGACAGGCCGCCCAGCCGGCAAGCCTGTGGCAAACAGGGGGGCAAAGGTAATCGTCATCTGACCGCCAAGTGAATGGGAAAATCACCATCGTTATTGGCCTGGAAGCCAAAGTGGGTCCGTAAGGGTGACTGTCTGGGTTTTGTCATTAGCATGCGCGTTTCGGATGTCTTCCGGAATTGAAGAATCCACGCGTTGGCCTGGGGCTAAAGTGCACCCTTAACGGTGACTGAATAGACGTCGCAGTTAACGCGCGCTTTTCTGTATTTTTCCAAAGCAGCCCATCGGGCCCCTTGCGAAGTATCATGTGGATGTCCAGAGGACCCCTCTGCACTTCCTAACGGATCCATGCGAATTGCCCAAGGATTCCAATGGATGTCCTTCGGAATTCCATAGGTCGCCGAAGGGGCCTCATGCGTTTGCCAAATCCATCCTATGATGGGATCCGATGAATGCCTTAAGGGGTCCTATGCAGTTCCACGGGAATCTGATCATTTCCAAAGGAATCCGATGGATTCCCAAAGGCACACCTTGGATTCCCTTAAGATACCAATGCATTTCCCGAGCCTATGGGTGCCCCGGGGCCCACGATGAATTACCCAAAGCACCCAATAGTTTTCCGAAGGTATCCTATTGATTTCCTAAGGGTTCTTTTGTATTTCCCATGGGATCAAGTGGACCCCCTAATGTATCCTACGGGTGTCCTAAGGATTCCTGTGCCCCCTGAGAACCCCAATGGATGCCCCGAGGAATCCGATCGATTTCCCTTGGGGTCCTATGGGGGTCCTATGGGTCCCATGTAGATTTCCAAAGGCATCCGATGGATTCCTCACGGACTCCTATAACCGCCCTAAATCAGGAACCCCACGGGGTTCCAGAAGAAGCCCTACGGATTTCCAGCGGAATCCCATGGATTCCCTCAGGCCTTTCATGGATGCCGTAAGAATTCCTGCATTTCTGCTGGAATCTGAAGGGTTCCCTAAGGGTTCCTACGGGATTCTGGGTTCTCTAAGGAATCGGAAAAATTCCCGTTGGAATCCCAGGGTGGCTTCCTCCAGTTCCTATTGACTTCCTTTGGGGGCTTCTGGATTTCGCGTGGAATCTCCAAGGGATACTATGGATCACCTAAAGAATCCAATTGAACTCCGGAGGAATCCTACGGATTCCCGGGGGAACCCCATTCTTCTCGCGCCTCCTTCATTTGCGGGAGGATAAGCGCACCTGCGAAGGGCGCCCTGCGCCCTCCGCCCGGGACTGCCTGACCTCTAATGGCACTCTGATTCAGCGCAGTTTGGGCTCGGGCCTTAAACTCTGATTCATCTCGGGTTTGGCTGGAACTCTGATTTGGCTCTGGCCTGAAGCTCTGGCCTGAAACTCTGATTCATCTCTCCGGCTTAGCTGAAACTCTGATTTAGCTGTGGTCTGGAACTCTGCATTAACTCGGATTTTGTCCTGGCTGGGGACAGAGCCGAATCAGAGTTAAATCAAAATTCAGATCAGGGTTTCAGAAAATCAAAAATGAACCAGAGTTCCAAGCCAGAGTTGAATCAGAATTGAATTCGGATTTTGGAATTTAGCTGGCGAGGCTGGTTTGCCTCCCAAACGCACACTTGTCCTTCGCCGCCCCCCCCCCCCTTCCCATTCAACTCCCTATCTCCCCCATCGATCTACTCGCCCCCTCCTTGCCCTCCTTCTCCACCTCCCCCCCAATCGTTATCTCGCCCAATGTTTTATCAATCCGGATCAACGCATCAGCGTCGCAGCGCATCACGAATGCGAACAGTCGCGGCCCCGAGCGAGCGATGACGGCCCCGCAGCAGCACCAACGCATTGACACGCAATGCCATTCGACCCTTCTGGGCACGCGAACCCCAATCGCGGCCGACGCAAGAACGCGGGGGAGAAGAAGGGGGCGCGCGGCCGCTCGACCCGCGTCGCACCTCGCGCGAAGATCCGAAGGGGGCCAGCACGCTGTCGCAGCGTCAGGGAGAGAGGGGCGTCGGGGACACGGAGAGAGGGCGCAGTGGCGAGCGCATTTACCACTGTCAGCGACCTGATTCTGCATCGCTCAGACTCGCCTGGCAACGCCGCTCGGCTGCTCGGCTGGCCCCCGCCCGCGTTCGCCCTCCGCCCCGTGACGCCCTGCCTCAAGTGAGCTCCACCTTGAATCCCCAGCGCGCACGTGGAATGACACCTACGCCGCAGCAAGCTGACCCTGCAAGCGTTCGCGCCGCTGACGCAGGAGGATCTCACTCGCGCCAGGGCGCGCATCCGCGAACGCACAAGCGACGCGCAGGATGCGCCGGGGCTCGCCAGGCCACGCCGGGAGGCACGAAAATCGGAAGCCTTCGACGTCAGCGGGGTGGCACATCGTGCACTGGAAGCCCGACGGGAGAAACAAACAAACAAAAATCACACGCTGCAGTAACAAAACCGAAATTGCCAGGCTCACGCACGAGCGCCAACAGCTCACGACCAGCCATGCCTCAAGTCGCAATCGGCGGGGCACGTAAAGCCGAGCACCAACCCCCAGCCCGCCTGCACCACGCGGCCCTCGGAACAGCGAAACGGCGTGCACCCGAAATACGCGTGCTTCGGCTGGGCAGCGTAGACCTGCACACCACGCTCGTCGTTACGAAGCAGGTCTTTAGATTTGTTGTCGATGTCCACTGGCGCCGCAAAGGTGATGTCGGCTTGGTCGCGGAGTTGGCTGATGCAGGACTGCAGGGTGAACACCGTGCGCGACTGCGGCACCTCGGTCGTGGAGGAGGGCAGGAGGAGCAGGGGCAGGGGGACCCCCACGTTTTTTCTGTCCCGCTCCTCCTGATCCACCAGCTCCTCTTCCTCTTCCTCATTCTGAACCACCATTTCCCTCCTCATCGCCGTTCGCCTCTTCCTCTGCCCCCCCCCCTCCCTCCTCTCCCACTTCCTCGTGACCCTCCTCCACCTCCTCCCTTCCTCCTCCTCGCCCTCATGCTCCCCCTCCTCCTCTCCTTCCTCCCCCCACTCTCTTGCGGTTCCGCGGAGATGGACCGCGGCCCTGCGGCGCCGCGCGGTCGCCAGGGGAAGGGGCCCCCAACCCCCCGGCCCAGGCTGGATATGAAGGGGCCGAACGACGACGAGGACGAGAGCGAGGAAAGGGAGAGGCGGGAAGAAAGAGGAAGGGAGCGGGTGCCGACGCCGAGCAAGTGGGACCACGCTATCGTCGTCGTCGTCGTCGTCGTCGACCGTGGTCGTCATCGATCGTCGATCGTGGATCGTCTTCGTCGGGATCCACGATCGATGGTGGACGTCGCCGACGTCGGCGATCGTCCAATGTCCATCGTCGATCGACGTCATCATTGATCGTCGGTCGTCGACCATCGCTCGTCGATCGTCGTCGTCGCGGTCGCTGTCGACATTGCCGAAGTCACCCGCATAGCCGTGCCGCGCTCTGGCGGGGCGAGACGTGAAGCCTCGGGCGCGAAACACCCAGTTCGCCCTGCCGACATGCCCCGCGGCGTGACAGGGAGGGCATGCTCACAGGATGGAGGGATTGAGGAGACAGCCGCAGGCAAGGGGGTCCTCATCCCAGCAGCAGCCGCGGAGCGGCCGCACTACGCCGTGCGAGCGCACGGGCCCTGGCACCCACCAGACGGGGGGGCCGTCAGTTTGCCCCTCAGAACGAAGAGCGTGATGAGACGAGAGCAAACGATCAGAGGCAACAGCTATGGACAGCGACTGATCCGCATGCGAGAAGTTAGTGCGCAGGCAAAGAAGGCGCAACTCAAAGGACCCAACGGATGGGCAGAACCAGGAGTAGGAGGATAATGGATGGAGGAAGACGAGGGATGCAGGAGGAGGAGGAGGAGGAAGAGGAGGAAGATGATGAGGAGAAGGAGGAGGAGGAGGAGGAGGACGAGGAGGAGGAGGAGGAGGAGGAGGAGGAGGAGGAGGAGAGGAGGAGGAGGAGGAGGAGGAGGAGGAGGAGGAGGAGGAGGGGAGGAGGATGAGAGGAGGAGAGGAGGAGGAGGAGGAGGAGGAGGAGGAGGAGGAGGAGGAGGAGCAGGAGGGATGGAAGAGGTGGAGGAGCAGGGATGGAGGAGAAGGAGGAGGAGGAGGAGGAGGAGGAGGAGGAGGAGGGATGGGGGAAGACATTCGTCGACTCGGCGGACGCGCCCCCAGCGGCCGCGCCAGGGGCCGGCGAGGAGCGGGGAGC